GGTACGAACCATATGAGGCTGGGGAGGGCGTAAAGTGTGATGTGTGACGTCTATTATTAGGCGTTGCGACGCAAACTGCCTGGAGGAGCGAGAGAGATGTGGGCGATGTCGCCAGGATAGGGGGCGTGCCGGGGAGAGCGGGAGAGAGCAAGAGAGACAGAGAGAGAGGCGAGGGGGGAGAGAGTGAGAGAGTGAGAGAGTGAGAGAGCGTTAAGGAATGGGGAGTCTTCTCCTGATGACAGGTTGCGGGAGCCCTACAGGGTGGAGGGAGGCGACGCCGGGTCGCGGGGTGAGCAGGGGGTCCACGAGGGGCTCGCAAAAGGGTGATGGGGCCGAGATTATCATAATGATGACTATAATGATAATGACATCAGAGTAAAGGGGCGTAGCGACAGCGTGGGCGGCGGGGGGAGGGGGTCGGAGGATGGGGGACAGTTGCAAAAGTGTCCCAGAGTAATGGGACCAGTAAGTAGACCCCGGCGACACCAACACTACCGACGACAGCGCCACCCGGATCATCGAGTGCGTGTCGAGCTATGGGCGGTACAATACGGTAGATCTTTTCACCCAAGACGGGAATAATGTACTTTATTCGTAAAAAAAAGTATTCGAATTGTGTACTTTTTCTCTCTATTTTTTACAATCGTAAATTGCGATGTTTTTGTTTTTACGGGGGGCATTTATATGAAAAGGGCATACCTCAGAGCCGACGGCCCAGGTGACCACGACGTTGTGGCAGCTGAGGAACTCGCTTGGCATGTGCGGCTGGTAGCAGGGCTCGCCCTTCGCGCCCACATGCTTCTCGAACAGGGTGGCGTCCCCCGAACACTCGTACACCACCAGGTGGTGCAGGTAGGCCCTGTTGCCCGCCTGGTGGATCGGCTCGTACTGAGGAAGAAAACAATTAAACACCATTACATTAAAATTACTGTTCAAGTCGCATAGTATAGTGTTTCTTCACATAAAGTGATCCAACTTACTTTGACCATATGGTGTTTCCGCCTGAGTTCTGGTAACTTGAAGATCTTGCACCAGTAGAGGGTGTCCTCTGTGTTCGGCAGCTGGACCTGAAGAACACAAAGAAACAACAAAGTTATTAGTAAAACGTAAACTACGAAATTTAATGTACCGGTTTCAACATTCCAGAGGGATGGGGCAGTACAAGTGCAACACGGCCGGATGATTAAAGTCGTTGCAGCTTTGAATTAGGAGCGGGAGCTGCAGCAGCGCGGCCGGCAGCGGCTCAGCTAGCGCCTGCGAATCGGAGGATGCCGTCCCGCCAGCCACGTGAGCGGGGCGGGCGGCCTACCGGGCACCCCAGCAGGCGCTCGCTGCAGCGGGCCGCCACGCCAGCGCGCCGCCCGGCCCGGCCCGAGCTAGACAGAGGAGGAGGGGGAGAGGAGGAGGGGGAGAAGAGGAGAGCTGTTGGGCGAGCAGGCTTGTGGGTGTTATTCTCCAATTAGCAGATCAATCAATTTCCATCGTAATTACTATTGTCCCATGGAGCTGGAGGCAGGCTTTGCGCGCGGCGTGAACACCGGCCCCGCGGAGTGGGAGAGGGGCGGATCGAGAGCGAGAGGGAGAGAGGGAGAGAGAGAGAGAGAGAGAGAAGGGGGGGGGGAGGGAGAAGAGCGCATCGCAATATACCTGTTCGACAACGATTGTGACAACGCACATTATTGTCAGGGCCGCGTGGTTGGCATTAGCATACAGCTAGCAGCCAAGAAGGGACATCAATCCGGTCGCCCAATCAGCCCAACTCGTGCCATTGGTTCGCCGCGTCCATTTCCTCCCCCCACGTTTTCCCCGACTCTTCTGGATTCTATTGTAACGAACGACGCATGGTTGGCAAAAGTTCCTGTTTCAGATAACAACAACACGCGCATTTTGACCCGGTTCAATTCGTTTACATTTCGCGCAGTGTACATGATGCACCCCCCTGCGCCGCCCGCAATCTGCGGTGAATTAGGAACACGGCCTCCGTTTTAAAACGGTAGTGACGCGTCGCCAATCGGACCAATCACGAGAGAAGAG